TTAGAGGACGACCGGAAGAGCGTCGCTAACAGGCGTAGACTTCTTGGACATGGAAGATATGATGCGACAACCTATCTGGCATCTAGAAATGACGAAGGCGTCACCTACAAAAGAGAAGACTCGGTGTTAACGCAAGAAAGTGCGTCAGAGGACGGCCGGAAGAGCGTCGCTAACGGGCGTACTTCTTGGACACCAAATCGAAATAAAATGAGAACACCCGCTACGGCGACCCCCGTCAAGAACATTATTCGCAATTTTGGATTTACCGCCAACGGATTTTGGAGAAGTACAATTTTTGAGCCGATAGCGACTGGGATCCCTGTAAAGAATATTTTTAAAAGTTGTCAATTTTTCGCCAAGGTTTTTGCAAAAGTGTAATTTTCGGACCGTTAGGGACAAAAATTCGGAGAACCTGGACTCCCGCCAAAACAAATAATTTCGACCGCCCAGCCACTGGGATCGTCGTCAAGAACATCGTTAAAATTTAGATTTTCCGCCAACGCTCGTCTCAAAACTTGAAATTTTAGAGAGTTAGTGACCAAATTTCGGAAAGCCACGACCTGTGCCCAGCTACCGGGATCCTCGTAAAGAATATCTTTAAAAATTGTCGATTTCCCGCCAAGGTTTTTGCAAAAGTGTAATTTTCGGACCGTTAGCGACAAAAATTCGGAGATCCCGTACTCCCGCCAAAACAAATAATTTCGACCGTCCAGCCACTGGGATCGTCATCAAGAACATCGTTTAAATTTAGATTTTCCGCCAACGGTCGTGTCGAAAATTGAAATTTTAGAGAGCTAGCGACCAAATTTCGGAGAGCCACGACCCGGTAAAACAAACAATATTGAACGCCAAGCGTCCGCTTACGGGTTGAATACGGAATTTTACTTCTTGGAGACCAAACCAGGAATTTTGGACGACCCCGCTACAAGATTTCTGAATTGAGAGAGAGAGAGAGAGAGAGAAAAAAAAAAAAAAAAAAAAAAATTGTCTTTGATAATTTCGCTGYAAGAATAACTCTTATGATTTGCATGTTTTTCGAAATCTTAAACTGCTATTTTTAAAAGTATAGTGCTATAAACTTGGATTACAAATAAATAAGAAATACACTCCTTCGAGGACCGAAGCAGGACATATTTATGGTTTTATTAATAAGTTGCCAGATTTCTTGTAATTCTGTCATTTTTTTAGAAAGATGTAGACCTGTATCCTTACCCATCTTTCCATGTGCTTGCTCCACAACCAAGGTTAAAGATATAGCCCTATAGTTCCGATTCAAATAACAATGACAGCGAAATGAAAAATATAGGTTTTTAAAGGTCTGAGAAGAACTTTTAGTGGTTGGGGGAGAAAAACATGTAGTGCTCGAGGTGGAATTTCTGTCTAAGAACAGAAACACTTGAAGGACGTGTCTTTCTCATTTCTTCTTGTTGCTTACCTGGATCTAGGGATGTGAGACTGTATTTGTAACCTGGCTGACTTGTTTCGTTCGTGTCATTTGCAAAGGCTAATATAGACCTATATCATCCATCTTCTTTGCATCGTCCTCCTCCTC